CCAAAGGCCAACCACCTTGTTAGGAAAATGAAACTGTCTTAACTGAAGATGTCTCCTACCTTGCCAAAATTTATGTGTAGTTCCCTAGTCCTACTATTCTCATTGTTAAATATAAAAAAAAAAAAAACTGATGCATCAACACTATCAATTTCCTTTACAATCTTAAACACCTCAATGAGATCCCCTAACTCTTCTTTTTGAGAGATTTCAGCCTCTACTCGCAAGACAACCCCTCCATCCCAGGCACCATTCTCTGAACCCTTTACAACAATTCAATGTCTTTCCTAAGGTAAGGAGCCCAAGACTGAACTAAATATTCCAAATGTGGCCTAACCAGTGACCCATACAATGAAATTATAACCTCTTCAGACTTGTATTCAATGTTTCTATAGATACAACCTAAAATCCTATTTGCCCTACCGCTAGCAACAGCACACTGCTTGGACGGCTTTAGACTGATCGACTATTACACCAAGATCCCTTTCCTTCATAACACTATTAAGGTTATTCCCATCCAAATTATACTTATAATTCAGATAATGATAATGCACATGCATTATCTTGAATTTATTATAATTAAAACCCATCTGCCATTTATTTGCCCAACTCACTAAATGATCTAAATCCTTTTGTAGATCAGAAGCATCCTCTTCACAGCTATCAACACCCAAGACAAATTATTATTTCAATCATTCTTAATGTATCAAGTGTCTATATGCAAAGAAAAGCCAAAAATTATGCTTTTTATGATTAAATGAAGATACAGGCTAAATATGTTTTGCGGACTTTACAGCATAACCAGGTTTCATTCGCCCAGGCCCCTGGGCAGTTGCCTCCCCCCCCTATCAGCAGGAATTGGAAACAAAACATTAAATTTGAATCCCACCAGTCTAAAAATATTTGAGCCCTGACCATACTATTGAACCATCATAAAATATAATAGTTCAGTTTAATCCTATCGTTTAGAAAAAAAAGTAATATTATAATAGGTATTCTAAAAGTACCACTTTAGAAAGTGGTATTATCCACTATAAAGTACAAGCTTAGAAGAAGTAAAATCATAGTAACATAGCATTTGTGTTTAAAAAAAAATAATCTAGGTGTATTAACAAAAATATTTAAAACTTGTGGCTGAGTCTAAGTGCTTAGTTCTAATGAAAGAGATACTACTGTAGAATTGTAGGATTATTAAAATTTTGTATAACAGACAGGAGAGACTCAATTATAGTGCACTATATATAATCTTGGTGTCTTTTCTTTGATACCCAAAAACAGTGCAGACATCTCCTAGTGAAACAAGCCTTAGAACTTTTGAGCTCCGATTACAAGCTTAAAGATTTTTTACTTAAGCACTTAGCTAAACTGCCAATAGCGAAGGGATAAATGACTTGAAGAACAATAGTTTCAAAATGAAATATATATCAATACAAATTTCAGAAACTCTGCATCGAAATTTGCTCTTAAATTTGCTTAAAAAAAAAAGCACAAAGTACGTATTTTTTGACAAAATATTTTCATCATAATCTAGACCTATGACTACGATTCTTTATATGAAACTAAATTGACTTATTATTCAATTATTCATTTTTTTTTCTTAATTCGATCACATTAATTAATAATTTATTATAATCAAATTAACTGACCAACATATGTGCCTGTGTGGTGAAGTGTCCTAAAAGAAACTGTGCCATCAAGATTAAAAACTAAATGGCGACGGTTATCGGTGTATGCCTATAACTGTTTTTGTCTTTTGCCAAGCTAAGAGGCAAGGTGTAAATTAATTTAACATTAGCTGTTTATAACTATAACTAGCATAAGTATAACTTAGTATTACTATTGCTAGTATTTACTATTAGTAACAATATTATTATTAGCACTAATACCAACACTGGTAGTAATATAATTGTAAATTACTTTTAGCATCTAACGTACTACTAGTATTAAGCTAAACTGAAAAGTTAGAATTCAGACTTTACACTATTAGTATTAATATTTTATTATTATTATTATTATATAAAGCGGAATTTGAAGTTAGTACTACGTAGTACACAAGTACATTGTACTACAATTACAAATTAAAAAGTACAGCTTACAAAATAACTTCTAAGCTAGCCTACCAAAATATGCTTATAGCAATAAAATGGCTTAGTTTAATTTTAAAAAGCATAACAGGTCTGCTCATGTTTTTAAATCATAAATCAAAAATGCTAAGTAATATAATTGATGTTCAAACTAAGCCTAACAAGAGTTCACATACAGTCTACCAACACGACATCTGGCGGAAGTAAACCCGAGTGAACCAAATTTTAGGAGTTAAAGACAATTAATTGTTTGATTTCGTTAGGTTTTGAAAATGAAATTAAATGAAATAAAATCATAGAAAATAATGCAACCTTCAAATACTTAATTTAACTGCACAAAAATGTATGAATAAAATCACGTATGTTTGTTTTCGTAGTCTCAAAACTCTTAAATCAATACATATTTCACACTTAAAGTTGGGCAATTTGCCACAGAGAAGTATCCAAGAACTTTTTTCCACCTTCATAAAATTTGAAAAACAACTTTCAGATAGGCGTTGAGATATCGGAACGTAATATATAGGCTAAGTTTTCACGTACAGGTACTGCAACGAAGCCAACTTACCAGAAACAGGTCTCTGCAACGACGCTCGCATGGACCGTGGGTTGCCGCTACTACTGCTTTGATTTCTTGTGTACACACTGAGCTCTTCGATTGAACCCGTCCCCAGACTTTAGCAACGAAGAGGGTGGTAATGGTAATTGTTGAACTGCAATCCATATAAGAGCTAGAGATGTACGTCATTGAAAAGTTTCTATTCCTGATTGGCTGCCCTACCCCACGTGCTGGGTGTTCCTTGTGGGTAGAGCAACTAATGATGACGTAGCTTACCCAGAAAGGCGGGTGTAAGAAGTCGACAGTGTACGGTAGGGATTCCAACTTTTACTAGCGAGAGCAGAGGGCTGCTTCGCGAAAAGGACTTGTAAGGCTCGACATTTTCTACCATCTACACAGTTTTGTTTTAAAAAAATACGTAAAATTGGTATTTAATCAAGTATTTTGTTCAGGAAATATATTTCGCAAAACAGTTTTTGTAAGAACTGATATAAAACACAATGAGATAGAAATGTGTAATGAAATATTACTTGTGCTAATCCCTAACTAAATTTGTGTAACTGTTTATTTAAAGAACAATAGAACATAAATTTTTAATCCTTTTTTTATGGTTATGATTCCTTCTTTTTCGTTATAAGAAAACACGTCAAATTTTTTAGTCCTTTTCATTAATAGTTGAATTATCTTCTAATTTTATAGCGGGAACTCAAACAATACTTAATCTTTATGTATGCAGGCTTAAGGTATATCTGACATTAGCATCAAGATGGTGATTAACATATAAAACTTCGTAACTCGTCACGCTTACAAAAACATAAATGTGTAGCAGTTATTAGGCTCAGTCTTTTCTGGCATGCGTATTTAGGAGATAATGCGTTACACTGTCAATCAAGTAAATGAACATAATACATTTTTGGCAGGTACAATTAGAGTCATTGTTTGGTTTGTGATTGAGAATACATAGTATGATCAGATACTAGCAAGTACGAGCTAAGAAATCTTTAAATATGATTATTGTTTTTTGTTATTGTTTTTGTAACTAAATTAAGTGTTATCTTCCAAATTGTTTAATTATTTGTCCATAAATACTGAATCTGCAACTGACATAGTTTCAGACTTATGAAACTGCACGATAAACTTTTAGCAGTTTACAAAAATTTTAATTCCAATGCATGATGTTAGAAGATTTGAACAACTTCGATTTTGGAGTACACAATGCGAGGAAATCTGTGTACTGGTAGAATATTCTCAGTATAACATTTTCTTCATGATTTTATTTATTTTAGTTCTTTGCTAAAAAGAAATGAAGTTGGCTCAGAGTGATTTTTATAGGGCTTTTGATACGGAATAGAAAATTAAAATATAAGTGTATATGTTATGTCACGAAAATTTCAATCGGGCCTAAAACGCAAACGTTAGATGTGTAAAAGCACTTTGTCAATTCTAAACTCGACAAAGAATAATAAAAAATTAGTGTTCAAGTTTAGTAAAACAAGTATCTCTAGTTACTGTAGTATTTATAATAGAATTTCCATCGCTGGACCAATAAACTACCATAATATTTTATTTTATTTAGTTTGTGTAATACCAATAACCCAAATAAAATTAAGATCATATTGTTTTCTTAAAAACTAAACATGCAATTTACATTAGAAGCGTGTATCATAGTGAAATTATTACTCAACGTTGTAGATCTTTCAAATGTGTCTCTTAAATTTTTATTTTCCCCTCGATTAGCTTGATGAATTTTACAAATAACTGTTTCATTATGAGAATAAACTAAAATATGATTCTCATTGTTGAATATTTAGAATATACACCGAATGATATAAAAACAAAACTAGTTTTAAATACTTCGCTTCCTACGAATACGTAATATAATATGGAATTCTGATATAAGTTAACTAGTCTGATTTTATAGGGCCAACGTATTTAGCAATATTTTTGTTACGGCTTCTATTGTTGCACCAGTTCACTTGGATTGTTCCGTTAAAAAAGTTAACGGTAGATCTAATTTCCTACATAACAGCCTCCCAGTGGCACAGCGGTGTGTCTGCGGACTTACAACGCTAGAATCCAGGTTTCGATCCCAGTGGTAGGCAGAGCACAGATAGCCCATTGTGTAGCTTTGTGCTTAATTACAAACAAACAAACCTACATAATGCTAAACAGTCACTTGTTAATTTTATCATACGTGTCTTAATGTTTCAAACAATTTCTAGTCCTTAAGCCACATAATTATCATTTGACTTTAAAACCTCCTTCTAGCCAAATACAATACAAACATCTAGATTAAAATATATATAATGTACAACACTGCTCTTTCCTGGATTGTTAAGCCCCTTGAATAATCCTATTACACAAATGAAACGATAGTACATCAAACACAAACTTACATAATTAGCAATAAAGTAATTCCTGATAATAAACATTAATATTTATAAATATAGAGATTGCAATCATCGAGTCATTTCTTAAATGTATGAAACAAAACAATGCAATCAAAATTTTGATCAACAAAACAAAATTTTCTATCCTTACTTATTTCTTGTCCCTAAATTGTCCATACATCGAATCTTTTTCGATGATTTTTTAACTGTAGCATATGATACAAAGATGGGATGGCCTCTTGTCCGTTATCATCACTTATCAGTGGGGGGAGGGAGTTTCTTCTGGAAGGTAGTAATGGGAACATGATGGTGGTTCTATCCTTCGTGATATATCAGAATTGATCTCGAAATGGATCTTGTAGTCATCAGCAGGTTGACTTACCTTTGGCAAAATATTCTTTGAATCAATCAGTTGACTGTTCTCTTGCCAATATACTTCTAAAGATAATCGTTGTGGATGCCCTTTGACTTAGACTGCCTTTCCTTTTGGATTCTATAAGCCATATCACTAATTCTGTTTATAACAGCATAGGGTCCATCCTAACATTTAATTAACTTTGGAGATAGCCCTCTCTCGTAGTGTAAACGTTACAGCCATACCATGTCAGCACGATAAAATTCAGTCTTATCAGTATTGACATCATAGGAAATTTTTATCTTATCACTAAATATTTTATTTTATTTTTTCTCGGGGAAAGTCATGCATGGTATCAGTAGTGTTCCTTAGTCTCACTACATACTCTGCTGAGTGATGATATTCAGGGTATAAGTGCAGAATGTCCAATGGCACTTTCAGTTCTCTTACAAATACCAGCGATACTGGTGTGTTGCCCCTAGCCTCATTTATCACTATTTGGAACTCATTAGAAAGTGAAGAAGATCTTGATCCCATGGTCTCTGACGTTCATCTCCTTAAATGGCTAATATATTTAAAAGTATATCTCTCTACCATTCTATTGGAAAAAGGATGAAGTGCTTTGGTCTTAGTCTTCTTGATTCCAAGGATTTGATATCTCTACAAACAAGTCTGATTCATTGTTCCATCTTTGATCTAAGTGAAGGTGCATAGGCATCTCAAATCTCGAAAACAAATTCATTAACAAGTTTCTGCTTCCTGGTTAAAAAACAGCGTATGCTTTTGGCCATTTGTTGAAATAGTTCATTACTACCAAGATGCATTTATTTCCACTTTTACTTTGTGGTAGAGGACTAAGCAGGTCAACAGCAACCCTCTCGAGTAGTGTTCAAACACACTACAGCTGTAGTTCTCCATGTTTCCTTCATGGGCCTTTGCATTTACAGCACAGTTCACACAACTTACACTAATCATTCACAGAATTCTGGCATCCAGTCCAGAAGAAATGTTCTCTTATCCTCCCTATATCTTATTAGCACTAAGAGCTAATCTTTTGAAAAGTTATAGAGGTGATGGATTGCCATTGATTAGAGTGATTGTGGAAACATTAACTGATATTTTCATTTCTGTCCATTGATATATTACTATTTTTAACATAACAAACCTTCTTGTAGGTACAAAAACCAACGTTGATTACTATATCATTTTTTTGGCTGCATTGTGCCACTGTCTGACATGAATGTCATTCTGCACCAGTTCTGATCCACTGAATAATTAGCTTAATTATTATATCTTTGCCAGAACATCTTTCAGTCCAGTGTTGGACCACATCGGTTCTTCATCATCTATGGATTCTGCTGTTGCCCTTTAGGTTAGTTTTCTTTACCATCGTGTTCTTGCATATTTTCAAGGTGTGTACATTCCTCAGTAATAGGAGGTCTTTGTGATAATGTATCAGCATTTCCATGGTTCTCTCAGGGCAAATACCTGATACTGAAGTTGTACTTCTGAAGTTTTGAAACTACCTTGTTATTTGGCCTTCTAGATTGCAAAAAAATCATCAGTTACTTCTATAGTGCATGATCTTTACAGAATGTACTTTGTCCACAAAAGTAGTGACGGAAATGACTCGGGGCTCAAACAACATAATACTTTTTCTAAGTTTTGCAATACCTTCTTTCTGTAGAATTCATTACAATGCCGAAGTAGTTGATTCGATCTTTTTCTTATGTTGTACTTCTGATAGTACTGCTCTCACTGCAAAATCATTTGCATCTATCTAAGTTGGTCTTCAAAAGTTAGGTATGGTAATACAAGAAAAATGGTTAGTTTTTCTCAGTTTGTTGAATGTTTGTTTTTCAATCAGCAACCCAGCAAACTTGTTTGGGGTTTTCTAATAGTTTGGGCAGAGGAAGAAATATGTCAGAAAATGTACAAAATTATGACTATAAAAGCACAGTCCAAGAGATCCTTTTGCATCGTGCATGTGAGATGGCGTTGAACCATTCTTGACAGTTTCAATCTTTGTTGAGTCAGTGGACACTTCCTCTCTGTTGACTATGTGTCCCAGGAAACTCACCTGTAGATGAAACAATTGACACCTCTTGGGATTTAACTTAAGGTTCTCTTTCCTCAACCATAAGCATTATTGAAGGTCGTCTCATTTGTAACTATTATGTCATCCAAACAGATAAGTATAACATTCCAGAGTAGTCCAGAGAAAATAAACTCCATTAATTATTCAAATGCAGCAAATGAAAACATAGCCAATTCCCATAACCCATTTTCTACAGTAAAGGCTGTCTTGTAGACTTCTTTCACTCACTTGCACCTGCCATTATCTGCTATTCAGTTTTAATGTTGAAACCTTTTTGACACAGATAAAGCATATAAAGTAGAATTAATACTTGGCAGTCTGGAAACATCCTTCTTTGTGACTCATTCATCTTTCAGTATTCAACACAAGAACTTGTGGATCTAGCCTTCTTCAAAGATACTATAAGTGATGCCCAAAGTTCAGTGTTCTATTACTTAGTTCATGGCTTCGATTTTTTTGAGAGCCTCAGCTTGTTTTGCAAATACGAGTTGTTTGAACAACCAATATAATGGGGCTGCATCCCCAGTATCAATCTTATGATATATTCTATTCTTGTACCATAAAATATGAGATCTATTGCAGAAACTACTTTCCTATTCTGTTAGCAACTCAAGTAAGCTGTGGTGTTTATCAGTTGCAAGATTTTCACAGCTCCAGTCATACAGCTCCTATAAATGTGGTAGTGAGTTCCCTT